ATCCAGGCTTGTCAGAGTCTCCAAATTATTGTCTACATCTTTGAGAAAATGAATGACTTCCAAATTTATTCAGCTCTGCTGCCATTTACATAAATTAATGACCAGACCTGTTATTCTGCCCACTGAGCAACTGGCTTTCTGTTGCAAACAGAGCAGTCCTTTGCCTGCTTATAAGACACAGAAATTTCTGGTCTTTTCCATGTTGCTTCCTCCTAACTCCTCACGGCAGAAAACCAGTGAACTTGGTATAGAAGTGGGAGGAATAAGGGGGAGAGTGGAGGATTATAGCAGCTGAACAGCCCAAGTGCCTCTGCGAAGAGAGAAGCAGAGCGGAGCAGCAGCCAGATGGATATGTTTTGGGCCCCAGGGAGAAGGTGTGGTTCTCTTGGTTTTGAGTAAGAAAAAATGGAAAATTCCACCACGTGTCAGCTATTAGTCCTGGAAGGAGAACTGTCTGAGAATCCTATCCAAATTTAATGTAACAGCAAATCTGCTGAGAAGGAGTTTAGCTCAGATGTAAGGTACTAGGGTCACAGCCTAATTCCCACGCACAAGTGGTTTTGTCTAGAAACTGCAGAGGATGCAACACTTATTTTAAGACATCCCAGCCACAAAGACAAAACATTTCTCCTTAAATGTAAGAAGGGTTTGAAGAAACATTTTCCTTCTGCAAAGACAAGAATAAAGGCATGAAATGGAAAAGAGGAAGAGATACAGACCCTGCCAATTGGCTTATGTTAGCAATGAACTAGTACTGAAAAAGTGATTGCAGGTACCAGATGTGACCCACAAGAATAGAAAAATCCACCCAAGAGGCCCAAGCAAACAATATTAACTTGCACCACTATATGCTAGTAAGACTTAGGATCAGCAATACATTTGAGTAAAGCCGTTGTCTTGAGTAAAGCCAGTGTCAAAGGCTTCCCTGAACAGGGCAGAAACGCAGACATGTCTCACATATCAAGAGCAGCAATTCAGGTTTTGAATCCTGTTTCTGACCCCAATTACCTGATTTTCATTTCATTCATCCTGCTCAACCTTAAGATGAGGGCAGTAGCCCCACCTTGAACATAAGAGATGCATACAGCTTTTGTGTGCTGTTATTGCTAAAGCAGCTGGAAGATAAAAAGCTTACAGGGTTAAGTGATATTACTTTCAGTGCAGACCTGGGCCGCATCTCCCAGAAAGCTCCAGCTACCCTGGGCAGTTTCAGAAAATGAAAACAGCTGGCTTTGCTGGCTGAGTAACGCTGCTTATGGTTGCTGTGATGCTGGATTGATACGAAGCTGCCAGAAGCTGCCATGGAATCTAGCCTGTTACTAATTTGTGTAGGCAGTGGCACCTGCAAAGCGCTGTCTCCAAAACAAGTTCTGAGTCCAAACCATACTTGAAATGCAGAATTGGAACAGAAGACTCAGTTGTCCCTTCTCCTGCTCAAGTTATACAGAGCAATGGATTTGTTTGTGCTTTGATCGGCAGTTTTTGCCGTTCTTGGAGAACAGAGGATGGGGGAAAAGAGATTGCCAAGAGATGACAGAGACTTCCAAAGGAACTCTGCAAGGAAATCTTCTGCCAAGTCAGCTCTTTTTTTTTCAGCCCTGATGCATGGATCCCTGTATTTGTAAACAAATTGGTTTGCACAGCTGAGTAAAAATTAGAATTTGTTACCTTGCACCTACAGAAGCAAGGGCCTGCCCTCCAGGGGACGAGGACATGAGGAAGGTTTCTTAAGCTCAGACTGAGCTGCATGCAGGGCTCCAGTTTCTTGAGCTCTGAGTCGCATGCAGGGCTTCCTCTCTCTGGATCATTTCACCATGGTATGTGAAAGCCAGCAAGGCCCTTAGTGTATGAAGAACCTCCACAGAGGTTCACATCAGAGGTGTGCATCCCTTCCCCATGCCTTTCCGCATACCAGATTCTGCCCTGTTCCCCAAGGACAGCACTGGTACCCAGGCAAAGACCCTTCATTGTGCACAAAGGCAGGGCTCTATGCAAAAGGGTAACTTTAATGGAATATTAAGTAATGTATGGCAGGAAACATCTCATCCTTTCCCCTCATCCTCTCCCCATGAAAGAGCTGGTGCTAAACAATCATACATGTTTGTTCAGCTCCTAAACAGTAGAAACATGTTTTGAAATGATAAACAACAAACAGAAAGGAGGAGACTGGAAGCATGTAGGTCCAAGATGCATTCAAATGCTGTCAGGCAGCAGCACTTCCCAGTTCCCTGCCCATGCCCTGGTCCCATGTCTGAGCAAGAGGAATTTTATGGTGCACTGGGAGTGCCTGGACCAGAGGGGAGCCAGGACCTGCCTCAACAAGGTCTCCACAGTCTGAACAACTCATGTCCCTGCTGTGGGAGGCACCTGCCTGACCGGCAGGTATACCCCAGCGTGGCCTCAAGAACCTACTGTCTCTTGAATCCATGATCAACAGAGAAACATATACAGAGAATGGAAATGGATAACTGACCATTGCACAACAGCAGTAGCTTGTCTTCATCACGTGGAGGATGCACTTTGCTCTGCTCTATTCATAAATATTAGATGAAGAAAACAATCCACAGCAAAATCACTAGTGATTTGGAACAAGCATGGGCGCTTGTGTTCAGCACATTAGAGCAGTCATTCCATAAAAGGTAGGCATCTTACCCTTATGGCCTCTTAAGTCTGCAGCACAAATATCTGAAGATAAGGAAGACAAGTTTTTCCTCCTATACTAAATTCAGCTAGGTCAGCTGTGGATTAAATCTCAGTTACGGACAACAGTGTTGAACAACAAGCAGGGAACACACCAGTTCCTATGAAGTGAAACTAGGACAGCCATATTACAAGTAAAAATGTAGTGCTCTCATTCAATGAGAAACAGTCATGAGCCCTTGGAAACAAGATCTGTAAAATCTTGTCTCATATCATGTTTCTGCTGCACATGTCCCTGCCATTTTAGCTCAGAGCTGCTGTGCAGCAGGCCCTAACTTGAACAGGTATCAACCACAGAGACATCACAACTCCTGGAATATGTCTGGTGCCTCTGTCTGGCTAGGAAAAAGCAGTCTGACTGGAAACAAGTAAGCACTTTGGATTTAGTGACAGAAGACATGAAGCAAAAGCAGGTTGCTGTTAAAAGTGGCACTTCAAAAATCCACAATTACTGCTTCAATATTATGTGTGAGGGTGAAGACTGTTTAACTCATTTTAGAATCCAAGAGCTAAGGTGCACCACTCCCGGTACAGGAGATACCCTGTAAAGATGAAGCTTTCCTAGTCATTTGAAGTTATAGGTGATACCACCCAAGTTCCTGAGCTCAGCTGCTATCCTCAAAACCTGTCTTGCCACTCTGACTCCAGCAGAGCTGTGCAGGTGGAAGTAAGCGTAACACTGGAGTTTGGATTTGAACTGCAGCTGTCAGTCTTAACACTGGTAACAGATCTGAGAACACAGTCTGGTCATTCATTCCTTGCTTTGCAGTTCTGAGATGACTAGAGAGCTGTGAGCACACATTGGTGGTCACTGTGAGAGACTGGCAGGCTCTGTTGTCACAAAGTCCCATTCCCCAGGAAAGCTGCCATTCAGCAGTTGTGGCTGAGACAGCATTGCTGGGTCACAGCACTAACACCATCCCAGGCATCCATGCTCTGAGGTAATATCCATCTCCCTCAGCAATGCAGTCACACCAGAACCCCTCACGAGCACTATGTGGACCTTCTAACCTGCTGTCTGCATACAAACCTTCAATGAAGTCAGAGGCTGTGTACACGCGGTGTTTTGCATTGCTGTCCCCCTCCGGATTGTTCAAACTCCCAACAGCTAGCTCGATCACCTCTATCAACTCATCTCGCTTATCCTTCCTTACAGGTTTCTCTTCTGGGTGGCGCGTCAGCCCTGTCTCCAGTTGGTACACCTTCTGCAGGGTAAAGCTCTCAAAGGGCACGGCCGCATACTCTGTGGACAGCTTAATGCCGGTGTGCACCTCTGCTTTGTATATTTGGGAACGGAGGAAAGCCAGCAGGTTAGCCTGGGCCTTCTCTGGGTTACTGTGGTCAAGACGAATGTCCAAGGGGTCTGGGTACTGGTCCTGCACGTTCTTAAGCTGCTCACTCCTGCCCTGGAGTTCGGCCTTCAGCTGGGCAATTTGCTTCTTCAAGCTGATGATGTAGTTGCGGTGTTGCTCTTCTCGCTCTTGCAGAATGGCTTCATATCCCTCCTTTGCAGTCGGACTGTGCACCCTGGGCAAGGCAAGTTGCTGGTTGTCACCCTTGGGTGTGCAAGCCAACATATAAACAATAGACACCAAGCAACAGGCCACCACCAGCAGGCCTACAAGTCGGGGGAGAAATAGAATAAATCCTCGTCGGAGCATCATCTCTTATAAAGCAGAGCCTAACTCCACACATGCAACAGTTCTTACATCCATGCAGTGCCACAGAGGCCCCTGGACTTGGAGTACTCTTATACAGATGCATGTATGTGCAGGAACTGGCTTGTCAGTGCTCTTAAAACATGCGCTCTGCCTCTATATCGGGCTCTCTCTGGTGTTTACCCAGCAGGAACAAAAGACAAGCTGCGACGCAGACAGGACACCTCCTGATCCTCATGGCAACACCTACGCTGCTGCAATGTGATCAGCTGGTGGCTGATGGAGCCTGAGGACCTGAAAGACAAATGACAAGGACAGTCATTCAAGCATGTTAGAATTTGGTCATTCAGTCCAGACCATTGAGAGTGTTCTGAGAATTTACCTCTTTTCCACAACTGCTCTGGCAAATCTCAGAGCTGTGAAGTGTTTGTGTCAAGACCCTTATGCGGGAAATTCTGTATGCACGCATTTAATTTTAATAACATGCCTTAGCCCATTGCCAACGAAAAACTAGTCTAGGCCTCAAAGTCTGCCGTGCTTTAGAAATCTTAGGAAGTCGTCATCTGTTACTTTCTGCCAAGATGTTAAGGTACTTAGTTCATCCGAGCAATGATGGCCCTCCAAGCATTCTCAACTCTTGGAGCACTTAGATTTTGAAGGCAGTCAGTCCCACAGCTACTGCATACATTTCAGGTTCCAGGCAACAAATGTGGTCCTGTTTGAACATATGAAGCCTGACCTGAAGCAGAGATTTGATAACCAAGAAACTAGAAACTGTTATCAAGGCCACTTGCTGCAACTAACATTGTTTGACATATCCTACCAGATGCTCCCATAAAAACCAAAGAAATACAGATGATAGATTTTTTTCAGAAGTATTCAGACCAAGTCTTATTCAAATCAGGGGAAGCTTTGTTTCCATCTAGGAGGCTGTCATCATTGCACACTATGCTATCATTTTAAGACCCTCTTCTGTTTCTCATAATGTTATAAAAATCTTGCAACAATGTACAGTACTACTGTGTTTTCCACATATGCTTAGAAACAGGAAAGAAAAATTAGATGACTGAAGATGAATATTGATCTAGCTGTAAGCTACATTAAAACAATTGCGCCGAGAACACTACTAGTGGGATTTTCAAAATCCCTCAGTTTTGGCCCAAATCCATGCCGATGCAAGGAACTTCATCATTTACTCATCTGACAGTAGACTTAGGCCAATGCTGAGTAACATCCTAGTCCTGCAATGCTGCATTGTTAGACTTGAACACAACCAAATTAACCCCTTGACGCTCACCCCTTGGATGCATGCATGACATTATGACACTGCTTTTGACCATAGAGATTCATAGTCCTTTTAGTCATACATCCTTGCTGGCAGACCCTTAAGTAAAAACAGTTTATCCAAGAATAAGAGTTGCAGAGTTTTTTTCAGTTATTTCTAGTCTTGAGTCAAAGTCTTCTGCAGGACTTTTTATCAACTGCTACATGACTTCCCCCCCATGTCTTGTTGACTATTACGCTATATACAACAGTTATGCAGAGATATTTCTGATCTTTGAACTGTTATCAATATTTGATCAGTCTGCAGAGCTTCTACAAAAAACCACCCCAATTATTAAGTAGGAATTGAAGGGGCTAGAGTGAGCTATAAAAATATTACTGTATTTTTCTCAAAGTAATGCTGAATAGGTCTTATAGTATTTACAGGACTGTCCAGAAAACGCCAGTGTTTTCAAAGCAAGAATTGTTGATGTTGAAGAAAATATTCAAGCAGTAGGAAAAAAGACAGGATGAAGTTGGCACCCTTACCTTTTTGCTGTGATCTTCTCTTAGGAACATCTTGGTCTGCTATAGCAACTTCTCAGCTTGCCACAATCTTCTCCTGTTTATCTCCCTTCTTATGCCCTTCCCAGAAAACGCGTGTCCTATAAAAAGCACTGTCAACCTCAGAACACCTCTTCATTGCTTTCACATTTGCCAGCTGCCTACATCTTCAGTCTGTCTCCTGTGTGGTGAAAGGCTGTAGTGGAGACGCTTCCTATGGATGCACTATAAAAGCTGTCCTCCTGCAATGTAAAGGAGCTTGTCAAAGCAGGGAAAATTAATCTGGGCATTTCTAACTCTACAACAGATCTGGCTAGAAGACTGCAAGAAGGTAGTGTGCAGTGAGACAGGGTCAGGAAGTGGTAAGATGTAGTACATAAAACACTGCTGTGCTTGTATGCTTCACTTCACACAATTAGTCCATTGACTGAATTGGCAGAAGCTGAACATCACTGAAAGGATTAGTTGTACTAACACGGTATAAACTGAAATTACATCTCAATGGCTTAGATAAACACACAATTTCATTTCTGTAAGCAGCAACAGATTCGAGTTTGGGGTAAAGAGCTCTTCAAATGTTGACCTTAAAATATATGCGTGTGTATATATAGCTATCTTCACTAAAACATACTGGTTCTGTCTTCAGGGTACTCTTTCTTTCCTATCTCATTTTCTGGTTTGTAATCTCACTCATCTTTGAGTGAGATCTCATCTTTGATGAGTGAGATTACAAACCAGAAACACTTCAGGACAGTAAATTAACTGAGTTACTTTGTCCCTTGAATCACCATTCTCATAACAAGAAATTCAGGCCATGGGGATTTCCACCTTCTTCACGGGGATTTTACCATCATGACTGGAGGCATCCTGACAACAAGCACTCTTACTTGCCCTCTGTTGCTACATCTGTCTTACTAAATTGTACTGGTGGCTTCGGTGGCATTGCCTTACAGTGATTGACATTTAAATACACAGCTGTTACTGTACTACTATCTCATGGGCATGCTTGTGAAAGCAGTCCCAATCCATGTCAGTGCCAAAAAAAGCAGATTACTTTAAGTCAACACTGAAGGTGGTCACGGCTAAGGCATCTCAGCTGCACAGACAGTACCAGAAAGCTAGGGATGGTAACTCCTCCTAACAACCGTTCTGTTGATTCCACCAGACCTACACAGTTTCACACCAACTGAGAGAGCCTGAGATGAAGGGGTGACAAACTGAAATGTCAGTTTTTTCCAGGAACTGACAAAACCACCTCTGTATTTCACAGCAGTCAGCTGCATCAAGTAGTATTAATCTATTTGCAAAGAGAAGTTTTAACGAGTATGCAGCGGTTAGTCTGATAGCCGAGGAAAAGGACATTAATTCTAAAAAAGCCTGTTTGCAAAAACATCTTCCACCTCAGCTCAACCTGTCAGCCCAGCCAGAGGTCAGACCAGATCATAGAAGTGCTTTTCACTTGTTTTCAAGGAACCTGGGCCCAAAAATGATCTAAACACAGAAACAGGTTCTGTCATCACTGTAAGCACTGCATAAACAGCTCTGCACGGTGGAGGGTGCTGCACCCAACCATAGGGAGTGGCAAAACTGAAGAAAGTTGGTTGGTTTGAAATTTTGGATAGTACGCACCCAACACCAGTATCGGGATTTTTAATGGACTGTAGAGGTAGGGGAAATTTATCTCTGCACAGAAAAGACAACGTATTTCAAACCTGGATTTTTGACTCCCAAAAGCCAAACTGAGAACTTGTGCAGAGGAAAGGGACTCAAAACAACGTATCTCTGTATATGTATCTCCCCTCTGAGCTCTACACTCTCCTCACTCTTCATGTTGAGGACCGAAACCGATGGCAAAAGAAAAGTCACGTTTGCAGAGGCAGCAATCTCTCAGCGCATACGGCATGGGCAATACCAAATAATATCATGTTTTTAAGTATTTTTTGCCAGATCTTCCTATTGCAGGTGTAACTCAGACTAGCAACTACCATTTTAGCTCACAAACCCTTTTGAAATTTGGGGGGCTTTCTTTCTTTCTTTTTCTTTTTTTAACAGAGGCAGTGAATGGCAGAAGCTGCAATTAGTTTTCATGTAGGTGTTTGAAACATCTTCACTGAACAGCAGCACACATGACAGTGAGATTTCACTAGAATCATATTAATCTCCAAAATGAGCTGCAGGGAGGAAAAAACAGATTTTTCACCCAGACTTTAAATGCCTTACAAAAAAAACCCCAACAACAAACAACAACAAAAAAAAGACATTCTGCAGCCACTTGATATTTGCCGTGAACTTTTTAATTACAAGGACTGCACATAGCACTGCAGACAAATTAGTCTGCTTCAAATGTTAGTGAAAAGATTTTGCCCCATTTGCCCCCTGACAGAAATTCAAGCCACTCAGCAGAAAGGGACATGTCACAGGGATTAAAATCTAGTGTCAGACACGTGTTTAAGGTGCACGTGGCGGGAATGCAAAAAGAAATTATTTCTCCTTAATGCCAAATCATGTATTCTCAACTACTTCTCAGCCTAGTTCACCTGCCCAGGGCTGAATTAAACAACACGCTGACTAAGGAAAAGAACCTATCTGATAAACTGACTGGGTGCACCTTCATAGCCTTCCTGCATTGTCCCCTGCTAAAAACCACACCACTGGTCCCTCTTGGGTTGACACTCACGCATCCCAAACAATTAAAATGCTAACATCTGGTTTGCAATTGATAGAGCACTTGAGACAGAAATAAGGGATTGTTAAGAAATAGTGTCCAGAATCAAAATGCTAAATACCAATATTTGAAGACAATAGACAACTTACCGTAACAATTATTTCCTAATCTTTGATTCCAGAGACATCTTCAGCAGAAAACCTTACTTGCACTGCCACGCACACTCTCAAAGAGAAAAGTCTCGGTATCTAACCCCACCCACAGTTACACTGTTCCCCTGTACAATTAACAATTACAATCTGATCATCTTGCAAATAGGTTACAACAACTATTAGAAGCAGTCTTAAACAAAACAAGAAACCCTCAAAAGCATTAACATTCCTGGAAATACTATGTTTTTGTATTGTGGGGGAGCAAGAAGTGGCTGATTTTACATTCAAGATACTGCTATAGGCTTCTCACTCCGAAAGTTACAAAACCAATGCAGAAGTTATAACTTTTCTCTTCGTTAGTA